AAGTACCAGAGCCGCCGTCTCCATACACGAACGACAAGGATCTGGGCCTCCTCTCCGTTCCCGTGGCCTCGTTCGTGCCTTGCAGCAGAGCTGCAGCCCCGGGCAGCAAGGCGGAGATGGGCAAAGCAGCTGCCTCCACCCCAGAGGCTCCCTTGTCCCCCGAGAGCCGCCAAGCCACGGCTGCCCCTCTTTCCCACACGGACTCGCCATCCCCAGAGCCAGAGCATGTCCCGGAGGGCGTGGAGGAGCCACCAGGTGTGGAGGAGCGCGCTCTGGGCCCTGCCCTGGCTGTGTGACCCAGCCCTGTCCCTCTGCACTCTTTCTTTGCTGTCTATTTATTGACAAGATATTTTATTGAGCAGTGGTGGCAGCGGCAGCTGCTCTGGATTATTTAATGGGGGGGAGGGCGGGTGCCGGGCTGCTTTGTACAGGTCATTTTAAAGTAAACCAATGAATCTGAGAGCAGCCGGGAGGCTCCCTGTGGTGGCGTCCCTTCCCCTGCTGGACCGTAGGGGTCGGCGGAGCCCCCACTGGTGGAAACAGGGGCTTCCCCCTGTGGTCCCTTCCCCTGCCAGACTGGAGGGGTTGGCTAGACTCCTACTTCTGCCTACTGGCAGAACTGGAGGCTTCCCCCTGTGAGCCCCCATCTCTCCCAGGGACCATGCTGTCTGAGTCTGTCTCCTATAAGCAAGCAATAGTGTGAAGCTGCCTCTCCACCCCTCCCTCCTCGAGCGCTGGACTTGGCTGCGGGGGGGCCTGCAGTAGCGTCTCCATCCTGCTTCTCCTGGGTGACGTTCCTCCTGTGTCGACTGTTTCCACACCTGTCCTCGCAGACCACTGAGGCCTCCTCTGGCCCGTTGACCTGCTCGCTGCTGCCTGTACCCTGCCCAGAAAGACCGTTCCTTATGGATCCTCCATCATCCTCGGCTGGTTCTGTTTACTGTTTCGGCACGCAGCCTTTCGACGCGTGCTGGCCTAAAGCCGCCTGCTTCTGCCAGCAGCTTTGTTCCACTCTCCTGCGCTGTCCCCACCGTGGCCAGCCAGGTGTGAGGGCTGCGGGACCTCTGGAGTTCATCATCGGTTTTTTATTTTGTTTTTTTAACCAATGTTTACTGGGCCTCCACAACTCATCACTTGTATCTGACACGACACTACAGCCTCGGGCAGGGCCGCAGCCTTGCTGGTCTCCAGGAGCCACCCCTTTTGGAACTGGGCCAGTCCAGTGGACTGGAGCTTCTCCCTGTGGACGTGGAGGGCTGGATCAGTGAAGACTGCCACACCCTGGGTGCAGGGGCTGCACCTGCCTGCTCCATGTTGGTGTTTGCTCCTCATCTCAGTGTTCTCTGTTCTCCCTGCACAGCACCCAGGCGGGCGGTGGCTCCAACCTTGACAGAAGCCTCTAGCTGCCCACTGGTGTGGTCATGGCCTCTGGATGTGGAGGGTGGGAGGGTCGCGTGCAATGGAACCGCAGCCACGGGTGAGCAGGGAGGGGGCCTTGTCCTTGCAAAGCTGCCTGGAAGAGCAGCAAAGGTTGCAAACGTGCAATATGCTTGCAGCAAGGGGCAGGGGGAGGGGTGCTGAGACCTGGGCCCCTGTGGCCCACCGCAGTGGGGAGGGAGGTGAGCAGCAAGCACCCACCCACAGAGGGAGGGCTGAGGAGAAAGGCAAAGCCCTCCTCGGAGCTGCACTGGGAGCTCCTTTCTCCAGCAGCAAAAGCACTTTCCTCCAAGTCTCAGGCCCTCCTACCAGCAAGGAGCTGGGGCACGTTCCTGTCCCCCCTTGCCCTGCCACCCCTCAGAAGCCAGCCAGACCCCTGGGAGATTTCTCAGCGCTGTACTTAAGGGCCAGGGCCCAGCAGGACTGTGGCACTGCTGTTCTGCTTCTCCTCAAGCTCAATCCCTGGCACTCGTGTGACCGCTCTGCGGTGTCTGTGCTACTTCTTCCCACTGCACATCTGGGCAGTTGTCTCTGCTCGTTCATGATTGTGGCCCTCCCCCAGTCTTACCCATGTGGCATATGCTCTCTTGCCGAGAGGCAGCTTCTCTCTGAAGTTACCCACCTAAGTTGAGGTTTTGGTGACCTAAGTCCTTGGGAAAGCAGGCCAAAATAGAGGCGAGTGAGGCTGCCCAGAGCCCCCAGCACCCTCCATTCCCTGGGAAAGGGTATGAGGTCAAGGTGAGGGACAGCTGTGCTGTGCTTCAGCATGACCTACAAACCTCCAGCTCCTGCCTGCCATTGCAGACCTGTAGCCACAACTCTATCAGCGTAGCTTGGAGGAGCGGATGGGGTCACTGCCTGGCACAGGCATAGACACTTCTGCTCCTGCTGAGGGGGTCAGGAAGGTTGTTGTAGGGCACCAAAGAAATGCTGGTCTCTGGGGATGGTCAAGCATTGAAACGGGCCCCGTAGGATGGGTGATCCTGCCCTGAGTAGGGGGCTGGACTAAGTGACCTCAGGAGGGCCTTTCCAGCCTGACTTTCTGATGATCCTAAATGCCCATCTCTGAATAGGTGGAGATGTTTCGAGGTAGGGTCTGAGATCCTGTCTGGGACTGTGCGTTGGGGCCTTGTCAGCATGCAAGATCCCTGTCACCCCCACTCGCTGACTTGGGTGTTTGAAGTGCACTGGGCCCAGGGGTGGGGGCAAAGGGCTAAACTTGTTCTTGGAGATCAGCTGTAGCAGCAGCGCTTTGCTGCTCATGCTGTTGGCTCTTCCCTGGGACAGTTTGCTGCCAAGAGCAGGTGCGATTGCAGTAGGACAGTACCCACACTTGAATACTGAAACCTTGGGCAGGAAGAACAGGTCTCCCCCTTCCCCCAGCAACATTCCAAGCTGGTGCTGGCAGCGCGGAGGAATTAGCTGGGAAATGCCTCTGATCAAGCTCCACCTTTTCCACTTGGAATTGGTGGCATCTGCCCCAGCAGCCTACGAGGAGACTTCCCTCCTCCAGTTGCTGCTTGGGGACTGACTAGGTGGGGAGTAGTTGAAGTGCTGGCCTGCAGCGTTTTGAATGCGCCTCCGGCTGCTCTGGACAAAGGGGCAGCTCTAAGCTGCAAGAAAAAGGCCAAGCAAATGGCTTTGACCAGTGACTAATTTTTAGACTACCATTCCCTTCTCAACCTCGCATCCTGGCTCAGCTGCCACAGACCAACGCAGCCAGGTCGGGAACCTCTGGTGCTGGGAGGCACTGAAGTGGGTTGGAGGCTCTGCGGAGTCCCAGGACGAGTCTCCGCAGCCAGGCAGAGTGGGCGCTTTCCGAGTAGGCAGAGGGGATAGGGGTTATTCTATTTTTACAGAGAACTATGCTGTGAATAGTGCAATGAAAGGGCATTTCCGCCTTTTCCTTTCGGGTTTTCACTCCCTTTGTGACACTAATGCTGGTCCCACACACTCCTGAGAACAGCCCCTTCTTTTGTTTTGTTTTTCTCCCTTTGATTAACCCTGTAGTAAACCAAACAAGCCCTTCCCATTTCTGGTGCTACTGAGCTGCTACGGGGGCACAGTGCCGCTACCGCCTGTCCAAAAGCTGGTCATTCAGCCGCTAGTTCCCGAGTTGGAGACATTTTGGTTCTGACCCTTGCTCCTGTTAAAATAGTGACTCTGCTACTTTCCTCACCCCCACCTCCAGTCTCCTCTCACACTGTATACAGGTGGCATTTTTCAATGTGAATCCAAAGCTTGTCAGGTCCTCAGCATTTTTTTTTTTGTTTGGTTTTTGGCCTTTTAGGTTCTTTTCCTTGTGATAATGCTGTATTTAAAGAGAATATTTAAGTGTAAAAATAAAGAAATGCTCAAACTTGCACTATGTAATGTTCCTTTTGATAAAGCACAAAACAAAATCACATGGGTCCTTTCTGAGCAGCTGAGGTGAGTCTGCCTTGGAGCTGGGGCAGAGGCTTGGACAGCTCAGTCATACTGCAAGCATGGTTGGGAGCGAGTTTGCGCAGACCTCGTGTCTCATCCTTTAAGCACCTCTAGAGTTAAGCTGTGGCCTGGTCATACCTCCAGAATAACAAAAGCAGCCTCCCACTCGCATCCTTTAGCTTAATAGAGAAGCTGTTTCTTAGTGTGAGATGAGGTAACGGTGCTCTAATGACTCACTGTGTGCTACAGGTTAGTTGTACCCTAGGCTTCCTGTCGCACCATTGCATTGTTGTTCTAAATGGCTGCGCTCTCAGGAGCCCTGAATCGCAATGCCAGAGACCAGGGGTATGCCATGCAGGATCTGGTTGGACAAACACAAGACACCTCTGGAATTGTTCCCTTTAATCGAACACAGACAGAACCACAGATGTAAGAATATTTACTGGAAAGACAGTCTGTTCATGCATTTTTACTGTAATAAATAATGTAACTTGTAAGCCACTAGAAAGTTAAAAGGTTTGGTTTATAATCCCTTAGTTGCATCCTCTGCAAGGGACAGTAAAGTACACAAAGAAGAAGCCTTCACTGATCACCCTTCTAGCCGCCTCTGATGTTAAGCAGAAAGTTCAGGGCCAAAAATCACAAAACTGTCCTAAACAGAGCAGGTCAGTGCTGTTTGGTGTTCCCATTTATGGCAGCAAAGGTGCAGCCTGCACTTTAAGGCCCAGTGATATCTATACAAAGCAGGACTCGGCCTCCTGTGTTCACTGGGAACGCCAGAACCAAGCCCCATTACAGAGCTTCCCAAACTCAAAGCTGTTACTGTGTCCCTAAGCAGTCTGTCTTGTTTCCAGCAGGAAGCCAAGGGAGAGAAAACAAATGGCAATTTAAGCCGCAATAAGATTTCAAAGGAACAGAGAAGTAAAAAAAACACAACAAAACCCACAACTGAACAGAGATCTGGATCTGAACATTAAGATATCACTGGCCCATGTGTAAAGTCACAAGCTATGGTGCCCCTCTTCCCCTCCCCTTCAACATTTCTTTACACCTAAAAGTTTCAGCAACTCAAAATAAACTAAGCTTTGTTTCCTGTAAGGAGCACTGCCCCGGACAGGAGCAGCAGTGAACCTGTTAATAAGATATCAGTCTAAAGTTTGTGCGTGCAGGAGAGATTTGCTTTCTCCCTTGGAAAGGGCTCTTCGCTTAAACTGCTGTGGCTTGAGGGGCAACAGCAGCACAGCCAGTCCTTTCTGACTGTTGCAAGGACACAACCAGCTTTCCAATACCATGAAAGGTGTGGATGGGTGCAGTCCTGAACCACAGACTGCATCAGCCCTGTGAGGCCTGCCTCCACGCACTGCCAAGACAGGCAAACATAAGCCACTGGGAGCCAGAGTAGATTCCTGCCCCTCAGGGGCTCAAGTGCATCAGGAAAGGTGATCGAAGTGCTCATCTCTGGCACAGGAGGAAAGACATAGCTCCCATGGACATGTCATTTAGAGTTGGATTTCCAGGCCTGGAGGGAAGCAAGAGGTTTCTTGCTAGCTCCAGGCTGCTGATCTGCACTGCAAACCCTTCAAGTCCATCACAGCCGACGGCACTGGCAATGAGCTGAGATGGGAAGCTAGTGCTAGTTCGAGAGCAGCCGCCCAGGACAACCACCACTCACTCCTTGGCTGCCTGGTAGTTGGTGGACAGCAGGACCATGCTGTGGGCCAGCAGTGAGGCCTCTGAATCTGAAAGCATAAAGGCACCCTCAGGCTCCAGTGCTGGGAACCAGGTCTGCAGCATTTACAAGGGAAGGCCCCATTTGTCCCAGCCATGGTACAAGCAGTAGCAGGTGATAACTCGGGTAACCACATTTTATCCACTAATTTAACAAGGGCTCCTGAAACAGCTGCTGTTACAGCAAATGCTTGCTGACAGTGCAGGCAGTTCAGTACCCCCTGAAGCGTGCCCTGGGACCATACTGCCCTCTGATGTGTAAAAGCACTGTTGCTCTTCCATCTCCCAAATGCTTGCATCCCTGATGCGATGCCCAAGACCAGCCCGGCCAGATGGGCATCACACGTAAGGAACGGACAGCCGAAAAGGAAGAGGAGCGCAGGCAACTTTACCTTTCAGCATGCAGGACAGCTTCAGCCACTGGTCCAGCCATTCTCTGCATTCTGCTGGGCTGAGGCGGGTGGAGTTCAGGCCACGGACATAACAGGCCTAATATCCATACAGGGACAGTCAGGCAGGCAGATAGGACCTGCTGATTCTCCCCTTGCCCCCAACCTGAAGATCTGTCTCAGCTCCTTGTGCATCTCTGAGCAATTTAAAGACCCAGAAACCCATTTCCCTACCTTCCATCCAGCACTGGCTGAGAGGCAGGACAAAGCCCCATCTTGTGATCCCACTGAAATCAAGCAAAGAATCTGCTGGGATTTGAACCCCAGAGGGATTACTGAGTGACCTCAGAGTGGAGAACCTGTGACCTATTCATCCCACGGGACATAAATTCTATCAGGGAAGGCAAGTGCCACTTTGGATTCTGCTAAAGACCAAGAGAAAGGAGAGGGTAGCGTGTTTCCACCCATGGGATTTGGGGAGCCTCTCACACTGGCTGAGCCACAGAACAGAGCTTAGGAAGGTGGGAGCTGTCCTCACCCTGTTCACTTCCTCATCAGAGAGCTCCTTCACTCCCAGCTTCAGCATGGCCCGGTCTAGGTGCTGGATCTCCTGCACGTGATTCTGCAGCCGGTACCTCAGGAAAATGGTCGGCAAGTGAGGCGTCAGGAACAGGACGCGGCTCAAGGCTTTCTGAGACAAAAGTGTGAAAAAGAGGGCAGCTGAGATGGTGTGGATGTCTTGAGCAAACCCACACTACCCAGGGAAGAGCATGGGAGGAGGGGCAGAGCCAAGGGCAGTCTAGGAGCTGATCTAGACTCTCAGAGACAACTGTCTAGGGCAGCTTCAAGCACAGAGACGATATGAGCAGCTGCCGATGGCATCTTGTCCGACCAGCCCTTGCAGGGCGCAGGGACAAGCATACAAACAAGCTACAAAGTAGTGAAAGTGGGACTTCCCAGCTTCGGCAGTAATAGCCCATGCATACACTCTTACCCTGGAGTTAAATGAAAAGTGTAAACCTGCAGCTTACCCCCTTTACTAGACTACTGAAATGCTGCTATTCCCTTAGCTAACAGCTCAGCCCCCCTGCAGGGTGAGGTGCTTACCAAGCTAACAGCTCAGCCCCCCTGCAGGGTGAGGGGCTTTCCCCCTGCCAGATGCGCAGCCTGTTCAAGCCGAGGGGATGTCCTGAGAACAAACTTCTCACAGCGTGAAGCTCAGCCACCCCTGGATGGGAACCTTGCTGCACCTGAAAGAGCCCAGCGTTCCTGCTGTATATCAGAGTCCTCTATGCTTCCCTTGGATAGAAGAGCAGCCTGACCCACATGCTGGGGATGTAGCAGGGCATCCTGGAAATCTAACCTGGCCCAGACCTGGCTTTGTTTTCTCAGCGTTTCTAAGGCCAGCCCCCAAAGTACAGCTGCACTACTCTCATCCCATGACAAAGCAGAAATTCATAGGTCTGGCTGAAATCACCTTGAACCAGCAAGTCCAAGAAATTGTCCACCACTCCCTTCACATTCTCCCCTCCATAAATCAGTGCAAACTGGGTCTCTTGGTGAAGCATGGTTGTGGCAAGGAAGCTTCTCTTCGGGAAATGTCACTTCCAAAACTCTTGTCTTCCAGCAAAGGTGCAACCTCTTGGGGCTTTCGGATTTTCCTCTACTGAGTTCTGAGTACAGGGTGTTTTGGAAGATTAGAACAAGAAATATCAGAAGAGCAGAATTTCAGTCTGACCCGGCCAGCAACTGAAACAGGCAGCTTGGAAAACAAGATATGAGACACCCTTGTCTTGAAGAGGATTTGGTTTGTTTCCAAAGTAAAGGTCATAGAGAATTAAGACAAATGTGGCCTCCATCCCTGTCAAAATCCAAGCTGGACACCTAGGACAAGGAAGCAGGACATTTCAGATGCTTCATGCGCCTCTGGGCCAACATCTGCCATGACTCAGGCCACAGACAGACCTAACAATTCTGTACTGGCACTGATAATGTAATCTCTCATGATACAAGCTGCTACATCTGCTGTCTTCTGTAGAGACATAGGTGTACCAAACCCATGGTAACTTTTTAAACTCTGGGTTATTTACCATATTTTCTCAAATCCAAGATGAGATTTTTCCACCCCCCATTCAACAAGGGAGAAGTATCATCTTGCATTCAAGCACCTGCCATGGGCAGGTGGCTGTTGTGGCTCTGGGCCTGTAGCCAGAGCTGGAGCCAGCCACAGCCACTGCCTGGCCAGGGTCAGGACCAGGGTGCCACCACAGTTGCTGCCTGGCTCAGGCCAGGGTAGAAGCTGTCACTGATGCCAGAACCACCAGGGAGGGTAAGTGGCAATGGTGCTGGAGTGGAAGGGGTGGGGGTCAGGCTGCTTGCCCACTCACTCTTCTGCTTGCCCTCTTGCTGCTGCTTTCCCTGCTGCAACAGTGGGGGGATAAATTCAAGACAATCCTCCAATAATTAGATTCTACATATGGGAAATTACAGAAAGATTATGATCTGTTATGTATAAAATCTAATTATTGGGAGGGTATCTTGAATTCAAAGTTGTGTTGGTTTCAAGTAAATATGATACGCTGCTTTACATTCACTTATGCTACCATCGAAACCTGCAGAAGTAAGTTACGTCATTGCTGATGTGAACACCTGTATGGCAGCTCCTTTTTTAAAAGAAGTTGCAAGTTAGGTCTCTGCAGCTTTGCAGTGATCCCAGTGGAGTAGATCAAGCAACACTCCAGTGACTGAGCTTGGGTAGGCACAGCCAAGCCAGGTCAGGGATCACTAGCAGCTGTCAGTGCAGGCTGCAAGCCCACCTGAGAAGCTGGGTCAGCCAGATCCTGAAGTTTCCCTCCCTTACCTTGGTGCACAGCCTTTGCATCGGGTCCCGGATCTGCTGGTCAGCTACAAACTGGGTGGCCCGGGCCAAACCATCGATGATGTCTGGGTATGCCTCTCTCCGCATGCCATGGTAAATGTTCAGAAACTCAACCTGCTGCTTTGGTGTCCAGAAGTAATGGATCAGCAATTGTCTTGGGAAAAGGTAGCTTGGAGAGAGAAAGCAAGTGGAGCGACTGTTGGAAGGGTGCAAGCCAGAATGACTGAAAACAGGCAAAAATCCAATAACTCCAATTCAGCAAGGATGGTGCCATATAGGGAAATGAGCAGCAACCACTCTGGGATCTGCCGTGTGGTGGGGAACAAGGACTTGATCTCCAGTCCCTTGCTCTGCAAAACTGCAAGGGCTACTGCTTGAGCCAACTGGCCCTTGACCTGGTAAAGACCCTTTTGGCCCATTTGGAAGCAACATACATGGGCTTTGGCAGGCCTGTCTAGACAGCTTCAGCTGTGACCTCAGGTCAGGAGTATGTGGATAGAAAGGCCCTCAGAAGTCTGATGACAGTTGTGTTAAAAAAGAGAGCGATGCACTGAAAAGTAGCCCTATCCTCACAGAAATAGAAGGCAGACAGTCTATCAGGCACTTGAGTGTATTTAATCAAAAGAGCCTAGCAGAATCTCCACATACAGCTGGGACAAGAGCAAGGAGGTGGGAGAACTGGGTAACAAACAGCACTTGCAGAGTGGAGGGAGGACAGCTGGAAAGGGAGTCAGGAAGTCTGGACCCTTGCAAGGAGTCCAAGAGAACTCGTTCTTGATGGCAAATCTACTTGGACGTGACGGAGCATCACAAATGCCAACATGGTCTGCAGCGTTCATCAGGTTACAATGAAAGACATAGGCATGGGGCAGGGATTTTAAGAATCCTCAGGCAAAAATAAACCCGTCTGATTTGTTAATACATATTTATTTTTGCTGCAAGGGGACACTGAAAACACGTAACCCTGCATAGTCGTATGTAGTGAGCAGAGACCATCCCGAGAGATGCAAGGGGTCTCCTGTGGAGGAGAACCTAGGAATGGAAACTTAATATGCACAGGAGGAGGGAAAAAATCAATTTGATAGAAAATTTCAGATCCCAGGTAATGTCTGGTGCCCAGACAATGACAGATAGACAGGAAACAGGCTGCCCTTCCTTTCTGTGTTTGCTCAATTTAGACAAGCAATTGAACAACTCAAGTGGGGTGAAAAATTATCTGACTGGGAAACTATAGTTTGACTGAATACAAGTGTTGCTTTAATGGCTGCAAAAATAGTCTCTGGAGGAACAAAGACAGCTGTTCTGTAGCAACCCCCCTCATTGGGCTGCCAAGAATAGCACAAGCGTCATCTGAGAAACAGAAAAAGAAACGCCAAGAGAAGGCAAGAGTCAGCTCCAGTTCCTAATGACTACAATCCTCGTTTGAGCCTCTATTCAGGACAAGGCCCTGGCCCTAGCATGGTTGGGGGGGGTTGGGGGGATGGTTGGGAAGGATGTACTTACATCAGCACCAAGACGAAGTAGTTGGCAAAAGGTGGAAGGGAGAGCAGTGATACTGGAATGGCCTTGATCAGATCCCTGCGAAACTGCACAAGAAGTAAAACAACGATTAGCAGCCGGCAAGCGAGTGAAACCCAAGTGGCAGTTGGGGGTGGGGCGGGGAAGAGATGGCCTCCAACCCACCACCTTCTCTCTAACCCTGCTCTCAGTGAGAAATGCTCAGTAACAGGCCCAGCAGTGTTATACACCAGATCCAGCTACCAGGCTGCCTTGGGTTAAACAGTCAGCTGACCCACTCATAAACCAAAACGCCGTCTGGGGTGGTGGGCAGCAGAGATCCTAGAACAGGGAACTCCCTTGACTGAAGCACGTGTGATGAGGATGAGTTTGCCCATCAGGCTTGGAGAATGCAGTCAAAACAACTGACTCTTGGAGAAATTCAGCACAACTTACAGATACTGAAGAACCTCAGAAGCTGGACCCACCTGTCTCAGTCTCTCCATGTCTCTGTAGGGAAGCTGCTGAAAACTGATCCCCTGATGGGCCATGTTAATCTTTATTTTTCTGATTTCTATTGCCTCCAAAAACAATGCCTTAAATCCTGTGCAGAATACAGAGAGAACCTTCAAGCCTTGCGCTGAGCACAGCCCCATCCAGCTCAAGCAAAAAAAAGCCCCTTTGCAAACTTTTACCTCCCCTTTAGTTTGCCTGCTGACAGCAGTGTGTGACAGTATAGTGGGATGCATCATGCATGGTCTCATGCATGCCACAATTGACAGTTGTGTGAGAGGCGAGATGGAGAAGTGGAATCAGCATCTAACCCAGTCCATCAAAAGCAGCAGCCAGAATGTGAGAGGGAGTTGGTGAGAGGAAGCCAAAAGCTTTACGTTGCAGATGTACTTTGAATCATCAAAATGTCGTATAGAGAGGAAGGCAAGAGGTTTTTCATCTCCTTTCCTCCCCCTCCCCTCTTCAGAGGTAAGGACTACTTCTCCCGGTGACTTTGCAAACTCTGACTTCAGCCAAGATGACAACTGCCAGAGCAGATCGGCGCAACAGTCAGTGAAACCTGAGCGCCTGGTTTGGAACGGGCTGGCAATGTTTCAGAATAACCGTGTTAAAAGACTGAAGAAGAAACTCTCCTTTGTAGGGCAGACTGCAACAGTGGTGCTCAGCCTTTTTTTTTTTTTTTTTTTTTTTTTTGAGTGGGCCAAACCTTCAAACCAGAAATGAGCCAAGGGCCACATGGACAAGCATAGTTCTACCCTGTGTTAATACATTAAGTAATATCAGAAAGGGAAATGTAATATTTTTAGTACTTTTAGGTTCATCAATACAAAGTAAGAAATTCAGTATTCTGTAGCATTATTTAATTTTTTCTACAACTAATTAACTAGTGCCCTGCGCAGCAGCAGGGATTGAGGCTGATGATTGGCCTGTAACGAGCCGACTGGTTTCCAGGTTCTTAGCATTGATGGGGGATTGCTGGGGCTCAGGCCTGTGGGAGGGGAGGGGAGGACAGGACAGGAGGACACTGCCCAGCTGACAGTGCCATCCCTTACCTCAGCTCCCCACGCTTTCCCACTACCCTACCAGCGTCTCCTGAAGGAAGAGCTCTGTGCTTTGAGGACCGGGGGAAGCGGCACCATGCTCTGCTGCACAGCACGGGGGTTTGCTCAGAAATAACTTACTGCTGTTTTCCAGTGCTCGTCAGCACATCTGTGCAACTCCAGAGCCCAGCACCTGAGCGCTGGGGTAGAAGGCGTGTTCGTTCACGCGCCTTGGATACCGGGGTAAGTAGGATGCACCCGTGTTGGTGTAAGGGGCACCTACCTCGGTGGGACGTGGCGTAGAGCAGGTAGAAGCGGGGGAAGCGCCTCTCCAGGAACCGCTCGTACCGGCCGCTGGCGCGCTTCACGGTGCTGAGCAGGGCGCTGAGGAGCGGCCGCGGGTCGGGCTTGGAGGACAGCGGCCTGCGGCAGAAGGGGACTTGCAGACAACCCGCCCCGCCCCACTCCCACTCCGGGGTGACGGGCCGGGCCGTTGGTGGGGGATGGAAACGGCCGTAACGGCTGCTGAGGGGAGGGGAGGGGAGGGGGGAGCTGGGGGCTCGGCTCACCTCACCGCCCCGCGGCCGGGCAGCCAGGCGGACCCCGCCCGCGGTAACAAGCGCAAAGCGCTCCAGCAACCGTTCAGCCTGGGCAGCGCCATCTTGGGCCGCCGCGAGGGCAAAGGGCAAAGGGCAGCGCCGGACTCGAGGATTGGTTGGAAATGGCGGCGCCTTCCCCACTCCCCACCCCACTTCCTGGCACGTGACCATAGGCGGAAGTGGCGCGGAGCGAAGAGGCGGGAGCGGTTTCCCTGCGCCTTCCTGGCACGTGACTGCAGGCGGAAGTAGGGTGAGGCGGGCACATGGGCTCGGCACGCGCGCGCTCCGGCCGGTTATCGTCCTTCGGGACCTTTACACGCCGCGGCCGTCACGTCCGCGCGGGCTCCGGGCCTGGCGACCTGCGGAGCTGCACGAGCTCCCCCAGGGGGAGGAGTTGCCTCCTTCTGCTCTCCTGTCCCGCGCGTCGCTCCTGGGACAGGCCCCGCTGTGTGTCAGGCCGGCTGCCCCCAGGCGCCCTCCCTTAACCCCGGGGCTTCAGTCAAGTAGAGCCCAGTTGTTAGGGGACTCCCCATTCCCGTCCCTGGAAGGGTACGTATTGTACGTGAAGAAAATATAGGTTCTTTGGGTAGATGTGATACTTATTATTAGACCAACTATGTAGTTGGGGGGAAAAAGGTCTTTGCAAGCTTTTGGGCACAAACGCCCTTCTTCAGGCATTGGAGACTTGCCGTTATAAAGAAGAAAATACAACATTTCGGTCCTCCCGCAACTAAAATATGCACTGCAGGTGGAGGACAGAAGAGACTGAAACATCCGCCATTCCCTGAGCTCCGTGCGGGCGGAGGAATGGTCAGGTGCCACGTGCCTGTGTGATCCCAACAGGCTGCAGGGGAAGGCAGTGAACAGATCAGGTAAACCAGGTTCCCTCTGAATCTGATCAGAGGGGAAAAATCCTCCATGGCCTGAATTCTGGTGAGCAGGTTCACCCTAAATATGAGCAAAACTCATCCAGTGGTACCAGGGCAGGTTTTCTACCTCAGAGTTTCCCAAACCTTTTCTATTATGTACCCCCTTTCCAGATTAACCAGCTGCCTGCACGCCGCCCCTACCAGCATATGGTTTATATTTTAACCCCTTAAATGCCAATTATAATGAAAATTAAATCCGCTATTACACAATTTCTCCTGTGTACCCCCTCACGCAGAGATGCTTTGTATACCCACAGGGGTACATGTACCTCAGTTTGGGAACCCCTGCTCTATCTCTTCTGAGCAGGGTCCTGCCCAGTTTCGTATCTAGTCTCCAATTCCAGTGTCTTATTTCAGAGGAAGGTGAAGTGGGGGTGAGGGATGGAAACTGAGAAGCCTGATCTGAAAACATACAACTTTGGCTTGTTCTGCTTGGCTCCTTCCTTTGTTACAGGGGCTAAATTTCTATCCCAGCTTTTACCCTGTAGTAGTCTATCACGCTGGGTAGCAACATGCCTATCACTGAGTGAAAGAAGGGAGCGTGGATAACACGCTCCAGCGTGAGTGGCTGTAGGCCAGCTGAGACTGGGGACCATTCCTCCATGGTATCCATGAAAAGGCTGAGATGGTAGCGTGGTCGCACCCTAATCATCCCTTGCCCTGTTCCCCTGTACCTCTCAAGGGTAGCACATTCAGCAATTTGCTTATCGGAAGAAACACACAGAAGCTTGTCGGTTGTATCAGTAGCCTCCAGGTCATCGATTGTTCACATCCCACTTCATGAGGTTTTCTGGTTGGCACTGACCAACGATACTCGGTGCTGTATTTCTCCGGCTGATGGAACAGATGACTGACATCTTATCAGTGCTGCACGTACCTCAAAAATGTGCAGCCATGCCAGTTTTGGCTGTAATCTGTTTGAAAAATGGTCCCTTTGAAGCAAAGTCCAGTGTGTCACATGCATTAATTGCCTGGGTGGTACTTGAGGTTTTACCAAATGACTTTTTAATTTAGTATCCTTGACTGATAGCATTTGTTTGGGGTGAATATAACTCACTGTACCCAAGATCAGATAGTTACCTGTATTGGGAGAATGCCCTTGATCAAAGTTTCTCATCTCCAATTAATTCCCTGCTAATAACCACCTTGTCAGGTCATCAGTTACTGTAGCACAGAGATAGAATCAATTATGCTTGGGAGAAAATTATTGTTAACTTCTCCAGCCTCTTTCAAGTAGCTCTGCCCCATGCCAGGCGGTCCAAGGCAAGTGTGAAGTACCCTTATCTTATTGGGTGGAGGCACTTGTTATATAGAGAGGGGAGAGCAGGCTGTGCTGTTCTCTTCTGGGAACTGCAAGCTAAGAGTCTGCCCGGTTCACAAAATGACTAACAAACAGCCCATAAACCAGAGTCCTCCGGCCTGCGAAATGGGTAAGTAATGCAACACGAGGAAGATCTAGAGGGTCCATTTCCTTCGGTTGTAGGAGGCCTTGCCAAACTATGGAATCATCTGTGTGTGGAGCACTTTGTTTTTCAACTAAGAATAAATCTCTTGGGGGGGTCATCCCCCCCAGCTCCATTCTACTCGCTATTCAGGGATCGGCTCTAGGGAAGTGCCTTTGCTTAGATGTCTAATGAAGCTACTGGCTGTTCTTCCAAATTATCCTTTCTAAACCTTTTTGGAGGTTTTGAAATAAATCTGCATGTTTCATAACATAAATCTGGGGGGATCAGGAAGAAACTCCCTGGGTGAAAGCTAGTTCTTAACTACTTCGATTTTCTTTACCTGCCTCTGAAGCATCAGTGTTGGCTACTGTTGGAGATAGGACACTATCTGTCTAGATAAACCTTGGCCTTGATCCAGCCCAGTCAATCCTGTTCCTAGCTGTTCTAACAGGGTGATG